GGCTGAATCAGCCAGCGGCCAGTGATTGAGTCAGTCATGACTGTGCAGTGGAGCCCTCACAACCCCCCCGGAGGAGCTCACTGCGCTCTGTGCACTGGGACCCTGCCGCTCTGTGGGAGGGAGCTTCACTCGGGGAATCAAAACCCCTCCACGGGCCACGAGCCACGCCCCAGGCTCCAGGATAGAAGCTCCTTTGGGAACTTGCCGCATGCATCTCTTCATGTGGATGTTAACTTATATCCTTTATTAAACTGGTAAACGTGTTTCCCTGAGGTCTGGGAGCCGCTCTAGCAAATTAATCAAACCTAAATGGGAGGTTGTGGGAACCTCCAGTCTGTGGCCGGCAGGTCAGAGGCACCTGGGCATTGCCACCGGCGTGGGGAGTCGGGGGTGGAGGGCAGTCCTGTAGGACGGAGCCCTGAACCTGGGAGTCCGGTGCTGTCTCTGGGCAGAGAGCATCAGAACTGAGTTGCGTTCTCAGACACCCGGCTGGTGTCTGAGAATTGCTTGGTGTGAGTATGTATGGGAAGACCCCCTCCCACATATTTACACACATCGGAATCGGGTCTGGGTTAGCAAATGAAGCTGTACTACTATTACTGCTGTGTATAATCCTGTTGCTGTTACATGTAGGGAAGAAATACCCCATTGCATCTGGGGTCAGAGGTGTTACCCTCTGTGCACGAGGGCAGACAAGCAGGGAGGCCTGGCCCGGGCGCTGATGCCGGCACATGGTCAGAACCGAGCTGTCACCAACGGGGACGGCACAGGAAGGCACGGGCCCTCCACACAAGGACCCCGGGAGCCCGCGTAAGCAATGACGGCGTGGCCTCGTCACCACCGACGCAGAGCCCAGAGTCCAGCCACTTAGGAGCGCCAGGGCCCCGGGGCCCAAGGTGAGCACCGCCCCAGGGGTGGCATGGTCTTCACAGCTGTCCGTGTGCCTGAGGCCAGGGCGGTGATGACAGTCCCCAGAGGGAACTGCAGCAAATGTGCTGGGGCCTCAGCCGCCCCTGCTGCTGGGGAGGGGGGTCCCTGGGGGTCGTTCTCAGGCAGCATTTGAGGCAGGTCACCAAACAAATGACTGGTGCTTTACCACAGTTTGCGAAGCACTGTCTGGACTGGGCGTGAGTCCCCTGGAGATGCAGACCCATCTGCATAGGCAGCTGGCCAGGGACCCCAGGACAAGGACGCCCTTCCCTCCATGGGCGGCCCAGCTCCAGCACTTTCTGTAGTCACAGCACTGACTGCAGGACGGTTTTAATCTTCAGTCCCTCCTGCCTGTTTCCTCAGCTGTGAAATGGAAACAGAGCCACCCATTTCATAGGTTTGTTAGGAGGGCTAAGAGAAACAAGAGCCAAACGCTCTGCAGAGAATTAAAAACTCAAATCCAAAAGCATGTGGCAATTTTATCGATTTCCCAGGACGGCCTGGTTTCCTCCTGCAGAAAATGTGGAGAAAGGTGCCACAGCTGCGACCAACAGTATTACTACCGGATAAAGTATGAGTGATCAGAAACAGGCGACCAGCCCGCCCTGCTCCGGGTGCCCAACACGGTGTCCCCCGCCCCGAGTCCCAGCAGGGCACCCACAGCCCTGAGGGCTAACCCTGTGCGCACGGGGGTCCCCGAGGGAACAGCACTGCCTGACTCCTGGGGTTCAGGACTCCAAGGCCCAGTGACAACACGCACCGAAATCAGTGCAAGCACACGGCGGGGGTGGGGTGGGGGGGGGCCTTTTCGGGGATTCATCCTGGGAACGGGTGGGTAGCCGTCTCAGGGAGCCGGCACTGTCCCCTGCCTGTGTGCTTCCCTGGGCCTCTGCAGCCCCACTGGAGCAGAGAAACGTCAGCAGCCCCGTGGCCCTGCTGGGAACAAAGGGCACACTGTGGCTTCAGGTGGGCATTACTGTTGACTCTGCAGAGCTCCTCCAGCTGGAGCAGGGCCGGGTCCAAAAAGTCAGGGGGCAGGGGTGCTCACAGCGGTCCCTAAGCTGGGATGGGCACTGAGGCCTGGGGAGGCAGCCAGAACCGGCTTGCTCTGCACAAGACAGTGAGTCCACTGTTGACCAGCCAGGGCCTGGATATCTGCAAAAGGCACCAAGTGGAAAATTCCACCTTTGTGGGTGGAGGCCAGGCCTGGCACAAGTCAACACAGCGGATGGCCTTGTTCTCTCAGACGGAGAACAAAGGTCTGATAGGAGTGAGGAAACCTGAGGGTGTCCCTGCACTTGGGTCCCAGGGAATTTCCCTACTCAGGTCATAGAGATACTGCCTTTCATTGACCTGCCTCCTCGGCCCCCAAATTTACACATCTGCTAATCCTTCAGCTTCCTTCCTATCTCCTCAGTCTCCCGGCAGCCCCACCAGGCCAGCAGCATGTTATGGGTGGGGAAACCGAGGCTCCAAGATGCTACCACCTCACCCAAGGCGGCAGCTGGCAGGTAGCTGATGAAGCAGGAGATCTGCAACCCTGGCGCCTCAGCCCCAGGGGAGGCACAGAGCCGGGATCTGGGGTCAGGGGCCATGGGTGCTGGACAGAGCGGCCTTCCAGGCCCTGCATGCCACATGAGGAGATAGGGGGAAGCCCAAACTGGCCACCGTGGGTGGGCAGGCGTGGGTGCCAGCCTTGGAGGAAGGGATGTGCTCATGCATTCATTCAAGCATTTAACGAGTGCCAACTAAACCCCGGGCATGATGGCACACTGAGTGGTGGCCCTTTCAAAATCCCAGACAGGGCAGAATTCTTGACTGGAGGGAGGGTCAGAGCATCTCCAAAGGCCGCCTCCCTCACAGACCCCAGGAACTTCACTGAGCCACTGCCACTTCAGTCCCATCAGCTCCATTTTACGGAAAAGGACACTGAGGCTCTGACAAGGACAGTGAGCGGCCAGAGGCCACAGACACCCTGCTTCTAGTGTTTAAAGCCACAGCAGGGTCCCTTCCAGCAGGCCATCTGGAGGCTGTGTGCTCAAGCAACAAGGACCTTTCATCATGCCCGGGGTTTAGTTGGCACTCGTTAAATGCTTGAATGAATGCATGAGGCCACTTCCTCCAGTGCCTTCTTACCCGCTGTGGCCGAAGCCACTCCAAGTTGCCTGGGCCCTAAGCCAGGGGCCCACCTCAGGCTAGGCTATCCCTGGCCTCTGTGCTTCACTTGCCCCCAGGCTGCTCCCTCACCCCTGCGTAGTGCAGCCCCTCCCTGCCCTCTCCTCCAGGGAGCCCTCCTGCCCCGGAGTCCCATCCTCTCCCTGCTGCCTACCACCCCCTAGGAGTATCTGACTCACAAATCTTACCTCTGGGCCTGGCCTCTGCATCCGCACCCCACCCAGTAGTCCCAAGCCCCCCGCAGGGCCTGCTCGCAGAGCACAGCCGGGAGCGGCCCACGCAGGACTCAGCTGTCCACGGAGGGAGTGCACTTTGCTTAGCAGCTCACTGGCCTCAGAGGCGCCGGGCCCCGTCTGCCCAGCACAGCCACCCAGGGGGCCTTTCTAACACTTTAGATTGCCCCCCACCTAAGCCTCTGCCCTGGCTTCTCAACACCACAGGACGAAGCTCACGATCCCCAGCTGGCAGACCAGGCTGTTAGCCGGCGCCTCCAGGTGGGGCAGGCACGTGTGCCCTTGAACATGGCTCACGCTCAGCCCAAGAGTGCCCATGAGCCAGCCCCCCATAAGGCGGCCACCTCTGCTCCCCAGTTCTGGCGGCCTGCAGGTGTTTGCTGAGAAAGCCAACTATGAGCGCCGGAAATGGTCTCAGGGACCACGGGTAACTCAGAGTGGTTGAGCAAGGGGCC